ACCAAGCGGCATGCAACTTCCAATTTGTGAATTGATGTCAAGATGAAGCAACTCCCTTTTCATGTTCTCAATTAACGACTGATTATTCATGTCAGGAGCAACTGCCAAATCAAAATTCAACAAAGTTTAACAAATTCTCTATTCTCACTATTACAAAACAAAAAAAAAGCTTCATTCTTTTCCCAACAAGAGACTAGAAAAATTCAAAAAAGAATAAAAAATTTCTTCCATTTTCTCAGCTGCCAATCAAATATTTGATAGATCTAGCAGACAAATTTTCCTTTTTCTAAAAAATATTTTGTTTCGTTTTATATTCCAATTTCCTAACACCCAATGAGGAAATACAAATCAAACCGCACCAAGCTTTCCACAGTTAAAAAAAAAAAAGAGAGACAGGATCGAATGATATAAAAAAAAGAAAAAAAAGAAAAAAAAAGAAAAAAAAGAAAAAAAAAGAAAAGAGTACCGGCAGAGGAGAAGCTGCGATGCGCAGTATTAGCAATGGGGGAAGGGCAGATGAATGGGCGGAGGGGCCTCCATGCAGCAGCGCGACTCCGCCACAGAGCCATATAGTCTTTCACTTTCTTTCTCTCTTTGTTTTCGACTGTTGCTAGGGATTTTCGCGACCGCCTGTCTCTGAAGTCAGTATCTTTTGTGTTTGGGAGTGAGGGGGAAAGTTGAACCATTCGGCCCAATAATTCTGGACAGCTCGAAAAGTTGAACAATGGTTTGTTGACTGACTGTAGCACTTGTTCGATTTATTTAGCCCAATAATTCTGGATTTTAAAGGACGACCTCCAACGTAATTTAAGAAGCCCATGGTTGCAAAACGAAGCCCATTGTTAGATTTTTTTTTTCTTTCTCTTATTTTATAATAGGATTTTTTTAATAGGTACTTTAAGAATATAGGTTAAAAATATATTGAATATATTTTTTTTTATATATTTGTATTGAAAAAATAAAAATTAACTTTTAATTTATTGACCGTCCAATTAAATTTATTTTATACTAAAATTAATATCAAATTTTATATTTTTCTATACACATTTATGATAAAAAAGTGCAATAAATGTACTTTTATTATGTGCTCTAAGGATATAAAATACAAAAACCCTTTATAATTAAGCTTTTTTAATTTTCAAAAATATTTTATAATTTTGATATAAAAAAATATGGACATGTTTTATTATATGAAATGCATCAAATTATAAATTAGGGATATGTAGAAAGGAAAGGACTTCATATTAGAAGGCTCAACTCAATTTTTATATAATAATTAATGTTGTAGAGTTTAATATAATTTAAATTGTATAACATTTTTTTTTAAATCATTGTGCCAATGAAACCATATAACTTAAATTGCTAAATTAAGAAAGGGTTTTCTAATATTGGAGACTATCTCTTCATCTATTTTTTTTTTTAACCATATAAAGCAATTCAAATTGAAAATTAAAAATAAAAACTCTTTACACTTTAACACAATAAAATATTAAATATCAAATTATATTAAATTATAAAATATAAACTTTTAAAT